TAGGCAGTGTGCGCATTGAGTCCTTTGCTGGAGATCGCAAGCGATACCTCAAGTGGAAGAAAGCTGTGCAGGCCCAACAGCGATTGTATAGGCTCGACGATGGCGAGTTGGCGATGCTGATTTACCTCTCCACAGTGTCGGAAGCACGCGATACTTTGGACCAGCTGCCCTTGGATGATTATACATGTGAAGGTGGACTCACGGTTTTGTGGAATCTTCTGGACGAGAGCTTTGGCGAGACCACAGCTGAACTGTTTGAACGGGCAGAACGGGAACTGAATTCCTTTCGGAGACTTCCTGGGCAATCGATCGCGGTCTACCTGGCTTCCGTGAAGCGATTGCGTGCACAATATATCCGGGTTGATCCGGATACTGTTCTGTCTGATCGTGCCTGGGGACAGCGGCTGCTCAACCGAGCATCTCTCGCAAAGAGAGAAAGGCTCGACGTCTTCTACAGTGCCGGAGGCGTCTACACTTCCAAATCCATCGAAGCAGCCCTCAGGCACAGGTGCAGTGAGGTCCACTTAGACGAGAGAAAGTTGCCCAATCATTCCTCGTCTTCTGCGTCAACTTCTGGAACTTCAAGCTCCACCTTTCGTCCCCGTTCAGCCAAAGGACAATTCAGGCCACGAATTTCCACGGGCAAGAGGAACGCCGTCCACCTCGCCAACGACGGCGGCCTGGTCGAGGATGACGACGAAGACTTGGAGCTCGAGGGCATCGAGGAACAGGAGGGCGAGGATGCGGCAGGCGAATGCGCAGGCTTCGAGGAGGATGACGAGGAGCTCGTCGATGACGAGGGTGGCCTGGGAAGTGAAGATGAAGAGGCGGAAGTCATGGAAGCATTTGCGGCGGGCTGGAAGGCCAAAGCCAAGACGGCAGCAGGACGAAAGGCGCGGGGCTGGAAGAGTACTTCTGCTTCATCTTCGGGAGCTTCTCGGCCGTCAACCTCATCCTCCAGATCCCTGGCGGACAAGAAGAAGGTGAGCACGTGTTCTTCTTGCGGACTCCGAGGTCATTGGAAAGGCGATGCTGAGTGCATCAACGTCCAGAATGGCAAGGACAAGCCCCACTCCAAGGCAAACGAAGTCCACGTGGTCAATTACACATTCATGGTGGGAAGTGCCGGCATTCCGCCCCCTTCCTGCCCGGGATGTGGAACGCCAGTGACTGTGGATCACAAGTTCTGCCCAGAGTGTGGGATGAAGTTGCAATC